GATGTTTCACACAGGGCCTCCGGTATTTTTGTCAGCTCTTCACTTGTTTTCTCTTTATCTGTGCCAATGATACCAAACAGCTTAGGTTTGATATTCCCACCTTTTTTTTTTTTCTTCTTTGGGTAGCTGCTGTGGTCCCCTTCATTCTGCCACGAGCAAAATTATCTTTACACTTAATTCTCCTCTCTTTTGCATATCATACGTGAGGCACAGGTTCTTGTATAACCAGAGGATTTTTAGAGCAGGTCCTTCACAAATCTGAAAATCTGTGTGCATAAAAATGTGCTACGGAGATCATTGCTCCAGAACAAATATATTGTATTCTGGTGATGGACTGCATTTAATGCAGCTTTCTAAGAGCTATGGGCTTACACCTGCAATAAATAAACTGAGGCTTCACATACAGCTGTAGCAATCTCTTTTCCCGTCATGTGTGATGATGGAAATGTAAAGCAAAAGCTTAGTTTAGAAATACGGAAGACAGGTGGAAGAGGGGCCAGGAAAGGGGGAGGAGGAGGTGTAGGAGTGGTGGATATGAGCCAGTGCAAGATGTGCACTTGCATGGCTTGCCAGGTGTCTGCCTAGCTGCCAAGGGCCCCATCCCCACTGAGCGACTCGTGTGGTAGCAAGCTCCGTGTTACAACACTGACCTCTGGCACAGGCTTTGTTTTGCAAGGGAAGAGTCAGGACTTCGACTTCACACCACGGTGCGGTGACGACACATAAAGGCTGGTTATCAACTGCCAGCCTTGACACTGCTGGCCTGATAGCCACAGCTGCAGGGGGTCAGCGTGGGCTGGAAATCTTGGCAGGCTCTTGGCTATGCTGCAAGGGGCAGCCAGAGTGCGGGTGTGGGGCTGCCCTCCTGTGTCTGAGACCTGCTGTGTTAAATGTGCTCTGGGGAGAAGGCTCATGCCTGTTGGAAAGCTGGCAGGGAAGACACCTAACCTGGCCAGAAAACCTGGGAACTAGGGTGCCCACCCATGGTACGTGAGCTGCCAGTTCAGCTTCTTCCTTCTGCACCTGATTTGCAGCATCTCCAGCCTCTGTCTGTCCTTCATGTACCAAGTAAGTCTCTGCCCTTTCAGCTTGAGGCTCTCTCTAGCAGGTGTATCTCCATCTCCCCCTGAAGCTGTTCCGTTTTGTATAAAATCAGTTATTAATTAAAATCAAGTGTGAGAACATACAGCCAGGCTGGTATCTTGTAGGGTCAACCATTTTCCTTCAGCCTCATGTTTTGGCTAAACTATATGCTTCCTTCAGCAGCAAAGCTGGCAGAAGTTCCTACCCGCCACGCTATTGCCTACATCCTGCCCTCAGCCGCTGTGGCAGCCAGCGCGGTGAACGTCATCACTGAAGTGAGCCACGTCAGAAACAAGCACACAGACTCTTCCTGCGTTTCAGTATGGTGTGTCTTCCCTGTAGCTGGCCATCAGGAATCACTTAAGCCAGCTGCACCACTGAATTATAACCACATCCTCTAACTGCAAACCTGCAAACTAATTATAGCCCTGGGGCATACTCCCAAATGGTTACTGGAATCAGTTGAGCTGTTTGGGCAAGCGTGTGGTTTGATGCTCTCATCAGAGCTCATTTGTGAAAGCAGAATTCCCTCACGTCAGTAGTTTCAGACCATGAATGCCTATCCCTGTCCAGCAAGGGAATATTTGAGGTTTTCCTTACACAGTCTTGGGCTCTCAAATACCTTAGGCACTTCAGAGAGGAGGTGCTGGGCATTGATTCCCACTTACCTCTGCTTTTGGCTACCTGGGACCAAGGGACCACCACGATGTCCTCAGCTTCACACCACACCTACGCTAAGCAGAGAGGCACCGCGCTGGCCGCACGCTGCGTTTCAGAAACACCTGCGCTCATATCCTGACAGCTTTCGCCCATGGCCTGCAGAAACATTATTTATGAGTGCTGTCTTGGGCAGAATGGACCGTCCGATTGCATACTTCAGATGTTCTTCCAAGATCTATAAAAATAAAGGTCCACACCCACACGTGGTTCAACATCTGCTTGTAGAAAAACGTGTCTAGTGGCAGGGGGAAATTGTTTTAAAAACTGATTTAGTTGGCTAGCCTGGCTCAGATAAAGCATGAACAAAGACACTCTATGGGGTGGCTTACATATTTTGGATGTTAACAGATGTGCCCAAGGCTCAGGGAGATCAGAAGTTCATAATAAAGCTCATACATGTTTGTGATGGCTTTCAAATATCTGTTAATTAGAATGAGACTGTTGTCCTTCCTTAGGTGTCTGGGTCACTAAAGCACTCTGCTCTGTACCACAGGTTATGTCACCTGCTTATATCAGTATTTTTGACGCTAAGCTCTTTATGCTTCTCAGCTGTAGTTCTATGACTTCACCTTCAGCAAGTTAAGCTCTTTTGTTTCTGCAGCCACCATCCATTTGAAAAATTAAAGAAAAGCCTCAGCCAGTGTGTGTTTAGAGACTCTCCCTACTGCAGACTCTCTGCTTAAACACTGTAGCAGCTTCAACTCCAAAGCTGTATTATCCTCTTTCCTACATACCACATCTCAAATGATGGTTCAAGCTTCAGAAAAAACTAGTAGCTGAAAGGGAGCTTGAAAATAAACAGGATCTTAAGTTTTGAAGCTCTGAGTAGGAGTCATCATACTCACACTCAACTCGTCATCAGAAGCAAAAACTTACACGAACAAACACATCTCGTTATTTCAGATTCAGCCTAGAATAAATGAGATCAGGTCTTTTTGGAACACCTGTACAAGACTGCAGGTGCTGTTCTCGTTAAGTTTCAAGGTGATTGAAATTTTGAGAGGTTGGCTGTACTCACCAGACCACAACCTCACCAGGCTGACCATTGCTAGGTGTAAAGTGTAAGGTTTTGGCATCGCTAATTTCCAGTAGTATGCCTAATTCAACCCCTAACCTACAGTGCACTCCAACTTCCAGCAGCCCAGTGAGCAGTGTACCTGTTTGCATTTTCCTCACCTCCTTTTTCTTGTGCCCTTACAGCCCCACAACAGCTTCCCCTCAGCCAGGGAACATGTTGCAGATCAGCTGATAAGCAGTACCTTGCTGGGCTCCCAGCTGCTGCCTCCCACTGAGTTTCAGGTCTGCAGAAACCAGGAGATTTGGCATTTCGGAGAGGTAAGATACCATGGCTCCTACCATGACTGTGGTTCCTTTTATCTGCTGAGTTTGAGAGTGAGCAGACCCAGGAGCTACGAACATTTCCTTGGGATGCTGTGACCTCCCAGCACTGCCAAACGCCATTCCGCATGTGGATGCCTGAGCACTTGGCCCTCTGTCACAAGTTACTTAATGTCACTCTTGCCAATAAATCTCACCCGGATCCAAACTTCTTCATTCATTGGTGGCTTTTTGTTTGTTTGGGTTTTTTTTTTCAAGCATAATAATTTTACTGATCAAAACTGTATAGGAAAACATTTTTTGAAACTGTCTTGTTTCAAATAGATACAATTCAAAATTATTTTTATGCAGCGGAGACAAGAACAACGGAAATTAAGATGCATCAGATGGCTAATGCTTGGTAAAGTTTATTTGAAAAAGAGGGCTGGTAAGGTGAGCAGGCAAGCAATTTACCAGTAAATACATATCTGATTTGTCTGTTGCTTTGAAATATTCCACGCTAATTTGATTATAGTAACTTCCTAAATTACCATCTTCTCTCAGTAACTGCTCATTGTCCCACACCTCTCGTTTTGATAAATGACTTTTCCTTTAACTATAACATAGTCGATCAATGCTTCATGTCCCCCAAACTGGTAAATCAAGTGCTCCCACCTAAAAAGACAACAAGACGTTTAAGAATATCCAGATTTGCATAAAAGCAGGTCACATACCTGGTATACCTGGAAACTACAATAGATTTGCTTGAACTATTGGAAAACACTATTCCATATTTACATGTTGATCTCCTGTTGCATGAATACAGTGAGTTAATGTACAAATTATAGAGAATTCCTTCCACAAAATAAACAGGTATTATCTTTAGATAATTTGTAATTGGGCATGGATTATTTGTAATATTAGCCCCAAAAGTTTAGGCTTTATTTTCCTCTGGAGTGATTAAGGTGGGCAAAAGTGGGTCTAAAATGCTAGCGGTGTCCCTTTTTTCAGATGAAAATAACTTCCAAAACACAAGGAATTCACTAACCTCTCCACTATTCACAATATGGTGAAAAAAAAGAATCCCTGATGTTAAATACCATTTCAAAAGACAATGGAAGAACAAACCTTGATGAATTTATGATAACAAGATCCCCCTGCTTGCCAGTCTCTATGGAGCCATGTGTGTCCGATTTTCCCAGAGCATAAGCTGCATTAATGGTGGCAGCAGCCAGTGCTTCACTCATTGACATCTTCATGTTTACACAGGCCAGATGCATCACCATAGGCTAGTAGGCAAGCAGAAAATGGGAGTTACCAGTATCTGAAATAAAGCTGTTCATGCCTTAAATCCCTAAGCACTCTCCTCCCTCATTGTGCAACAGAAGGAGTTGTCCTGCATAATGTAAATCTTGCCAACTCCAAAACAAGAACTCTAAATCAGGAATTTTGAGAGCCTTTTTTATAAGCCTCTCAGTGCACATGAAGAATAGAACCCCTCTGGTTTGAAGAATTTCTGGCAAAAAGTACCAACTCACATAAATAACCATGAGCAATTGTCTAAGCTGGGCATAGAGCTCTCTTTAAGTGCACGAGATCTATACACAAGTTGTACTGGTAAGAGATTTCATAATTTTGTGGTGTTGTAAGAATGAGGAATAGCTTACCATTGAAAAACAGTATGCATTAGGATTAAAGTCGCTGCCAAGAGCAACTATAACTCCTTCTTCTAACATTTTTCTAGCTTGAGGTTGCTTCAGTCTAGTGGGAAAAAGACACTTGTCAGTACAATTTGCTTAGTTATTACATGATGATTTACAAGAGCAAAAGTCATCACTTGGTTTGGCTACATTCACACATTCAGTTACACTAATCCTTTTGGAGATGAAAGCCCAAATTCTCCTCTTGGCTCCCTATCACCCTATGGACAGCATAAATGGGAAGTGCGATCCACTGCTTTTGCTGTAACAGCATGTGGCAGCAGCCAGTATCAAGCATCAGGTTCCAGGCTACTGAAATTCTGGTATTTATCCAGACCTCAGACACTTAAGGATTTACAAGGTGAAAATCTTCATTTCTCAAAAAAGTCATTTTCTAGTCCTTATAGCTTCAAAGACAGGCTCCCAAACATGAGCAGTGGCACAAGCAACACAATAGTCCCTTCCCGATTCTGCTGGCAATTCAAAATAGTAAGTTGAGGCTGTGAATTTAATTTGTATACATTAGAAGATCTTCTCACTTAGCAATGTTAACGCAAAAGGTATCTTCAATAACGTCAATATCTGGAATAGCCATTTCAAAATCGTTCAGACACTGGGTTAATCTGAGTAGGTGTTTGTAAGGATGGGCACCAGCCACAGGAAATATGCTAAGAAGTTTTAGCCATAGTTGCTACAAAGCCAATGACACCAAACGTGTCTGAAAACAGAATCATAGAATTATAGAATGGTTTAGGTTGTAAGCAACCCTTAAAGGTCATCTAGTCCAAACCCCCTGCAGTAAGCAGGGACACCTTCCACTAGATCAGATTGCTCAAAGCCCCATCAAGCCTGACCTTGAATGTTTCCAGGGATGAGGTATCTACCACCTCTCTGGGCAACTTTTTCCAGTGCTTCACCACCCTCATTTAAAAAAAATTCTTCCTTGTATCTAGTCTAAATCTACACCCTTTTAGTTTAAAAACATTACCCATTGTCCTATCGCAGAAGACGCTGCTAAAAAGTTTGTCCCTATCTTTCTTATAAGGCTCTCACAATAAGGTTTCCCCAGAGCCTTCTCTTCTCCAGGCTGAACAACCCCAATTCTCTCAGTCTGTCTCCATAGGAGAGGTGCTCCAGCCCTCCGGCCACCTTCATGGCCCTCCTCTGGACCCGCTCCCACAGGTCCATGTCTTTCCTGTACTTAGGACCCCAGAGCTAGACACAGAACTCCAGATGGGGTCTCGCCAGAGTGGAGTAAAGGAGCAGAATCACCTCCCTCGACCTGCTGGCCACACTTCTTTTGATGCAGACCAGGAAACAGTTGGCTTTCTGGGCTGCCAGTGCACATTGCCGGAGTACGTCCAGCTTTTCATCCACCAGTACACCCAAATTCTTCTTCACAGGGCTGCTCTCAATCCCTTCATCCCTCAGCCTGTATTGATACTGGGGGTTGCCCTGACCCAGGTGCAAGACTTTGCACTTGGCCTCGTTGAACCTCACGAGGTTCACATGGGCACACTTCTCAAGCTTGTCCAGCTCCCTCTAGATAGCATGTCAGTGTAACAATAAAAAATGAAACATGAGAGCTTCTGCTGCTCAAAAAGTAGTGTTAAAAGCACTGCAGTTAACAGAAAAGAACAATAAATGAGATCTTAACGAAGTGCTTACATTTGCTATAAGACAATCCTCTCCCTATAGAAGCCTCCTAGCAGATTTATGAGAAAATACCACCTGCTCCTGCACAACACGATGCTCCAGGAGTTAATCGTGTTTAATAAGATTTGTCTGAAGAGCTGTTCCCCATCCTCATGTGTCCTTCCAGCCTCTGCATCCCCTGCTGTGCTGTGCTGCCAGACACCTAGGAGTGCTGCAGGCAACGGTCAATGAAGGCCAAACCGAGAGGGTGCTGACCATGAAGCAACGATCCATCTGCACTCTTTGGCCCACTCCTGGGCGAAGCCCTGTCCGCTACTGCTCTTCTTAAAATCAGGGGACAGTACAGGGGCAGGACCTCTCGAGGTCTGAGCTCTCATCGTGGGTGCTGAAGGAGCTGAGGGACGTCAGCAAAGGATATACCACATCACCTCACAGCAACTTCTATACGTCACACAGCTTTCAACCCCTCTTGATGCTCTTTTAACCAGCATCTCAAATATGGCTTCTTCATTTTTAGAGTGCATTAGACTAGGAGGCCTGAGTTCAATAAAGAGAGCAACAGACACTGGAAGAAACGACGCCTCATTTCCTACAGCTCATTATTATCTTCATCTTAAGCTTATCCTGAGGTTATAAACCTTCCACCACATGGAGTCTCTGGAGTAACCCACAAGTTACAGCCATAGCTTTTTCCACAGGTGGCTGCGTCTCTGTTGTCCTCTTTACCTCCCTGCCCAGGGTCAGTTTGCAGGACCACAGGTCCTCTCTGAGATCTGTTTTATGGGGGTGCATGCAGCTCCAATCAGCCAGTAGTTCAAAAGCACTGGTGCAGGACATGGACAGCTAACCACAGACAGAAACACAAGCGTGGACGTAGAGGTGAACACAGGTGGCAATGGCACGAGCCTCGATGCCTCAGAAAGCAGGCTGCTGAAAATAAACCAAAAGCAGCTCAAAGACCTTCTCTTCACAGGAGGGAAGGTATTATTGGGTCATGGTCCTCATCATCTAGTTGGCTTATTTTTGGCATTAGAGGTAAGCAGGTGATCCATCTGTGCTTATCTGGAATGTCTGCATATGGAAAACAGTGTTCTTCAAGCGATTCTCCTCAGTGTTGCCTGGGTAAAATCATACGAGATTTTAAAAATGCTACCCACAGTCTTCAGCGCTTTAGATAACCAAAGGATATATTTCTCAGCAAAACCTTCTGCAAGAGAGCAAATACATATATTACAGATATCACCTGCCTGAAAAGAAGCCAATTCAGTTTTCAAAGGCTAAATGGATTAAAGAAAACCAGTCTAGTTTTCTTCTTAAATGAAAGCCCAGCTGTCACCTTAGCCTGTCATACAGATTAAATTCCAGTGCTGATTGAACCACCCAAAATCTACTGTGAGACTTCTCAAAAGCAGGGTATTGCTTCATTTTTGAAGATCTCTACCAAAACCAAGACACAAGTAGGCTCATTCAACTCTTTGCATTTGTGATTGCCTTCACTGATCCAGCCTGATCCTCAAGGCACAGAAACAAGCTTACGCTTTTACATTAAAAGATCTTAAAACCACAAACATGGTTTTGCTGTTCCAAAAGTTTTCCTTCGATCTAGCAGCCTTACCTTAGCATGTAGGCAGTTGTCGGTAAAAGTACAGCAGCACACTTAGCTCTTGCCATTGCCATGATACCTTCATCACTAACTTCTTCCAGGTGGCTGATAGCCCGGGCTCCTAGTTCAGCTCCAAGCTAAGCAAATTTTCAAGAAAATTACTCACTGTTCTCAGTTAATTCAGTAAAGCAGTGTTGCTATCAAATGACTGGAGGGGAGAATTCACTATTAATATAAAATTAACTAAAAGAAAAAAAAATAACAAATGCTTGAAAGAACAAACAAAATATTTGCTAATTTACTGCAGGAAAAATTGATCACAAAAAAGTATTAACCATCCACCGAGTGGAAGCCTACCCTCAGTGGTATTTTTAACAGACCAACATGCAAACTACGGGGCAGCTATGGATAAAACTATTATCCGCTCCTGTTCACAAAGTATCCAGCAGAAAAGGGTTGACAAAACTGACACTGGTCACAGAACTAGCAGTGCAACTGCTGCCTTCAGTGGTGATCAAGATCGTGGAGCAGATCCTCCTGGCGACTATGCTAAGGCACATAGAAAATAAGGAGGTGAGTGGTGACAGCCAACATGGCTTCACTAAGGGCAAATCCTGCCTGACTAATTTGGTGGCCTTCTATGATGAGGTTACAGCACTGATGGATAGGGGAAGCGCAACTGACATCGTCTACCTGGACTTATCCAAAGCGTTTGATACTGTCCCACACAACATCCTTGTCTCTAAACTGGAAAGACATGGTTTTGATGGATGAACCACTCAGTGGATAAGGAATTGGCTGGATGCTCACACTCAAAGAGTTGTGGTCAACAGTTCAATGTCCAAGTGGAGGCCTGTGACGAGTGGTGTTCCTCAGGGGCCAGTGCTATTTAACATCTGATGGGCAAAGTGCCATGGGAGGCGGCCCTGGAGGGACGAGGGGCCCAGGAATGTTGGTCCACATTCAAGGAGCACTTCCTCCAAGCTCAGCTGAGGTGCATCCTGATGAAGAACAAGTCGGGCAAAAAGACCAGGAAGCCCGCGTGGATGAGCAAGGAGCTCCTGGACCAACTGAAAATGAAGAGGTTAGCCTATAGAGGGTGGAAGCGGAGACAGATAGCCTGGGAGGAATACAGAGAAGCTGTACGAGTGACCAGGGAGCAGGTGAGGAAGGCTAAAGCCCTGAAGGAAT